TTAAAAAGAACTAACTACTCTTAAACCTTGCCTTTCTGTGGTTTTGGTTGGTTGGGTTTAGCTTTACAGAGGTAAGTGGGTGCTGGTGCTGCAAGTGGGTAAATTGAAACACATGTGGGATAGTCCTATTCACTTGAGTGAACTCCTCACTCCCATATATGCTCTACTGAGGTCTGCTGGAGCATGCTCAAAAGTAAAGTGTCTGTCATGTTCTTGAAGTGCTTTTCTTCTGGAAGAGAAGATCTGAGGACTTCTGACTTTTGGTAATGACTGGATTTAATCTGCATTAATGCTTTCCAGAGTAGGTATGTATTTTCCTTGATGTTGTTTGTCACTGAGGCTGATTTTGAAAATGTGTCATCCTATGTCGAGGTTGCAGGTGTTAGCACTGAAATGTTTACCTGTTCATTGAGCTGATGATTAAAATGTTTGTATTCGTGGCCCCAGTTAATTGTAGGCCACACCTTTTGCTTACTTGAAGCTCTGTGAGAAATTGTTTCTTTTGCTGGGGTAGGATGATGCACAGAAGGAAGAACTTTATCTGTATTGCTCCATACCCTTTATAGCTATCAGGAAGAAGTGCTAGGCTGATCCAGGGTCACGTGCTGCAGCTGTGTAAGTGCTCACTGTGACTGCAGCTGTAGGTGGAGCTGGTGTCAGACATGGAAACATGATTCAGGCCTGCAAGGAGAGTCACACACGGGGCTCTGGATCAGGGAAGGCACACAGAGCAGCCATTTGGCCAGTGTCAGCCTCCTCACATCAGCTTGCCCTGGACAAAGACAGCAATCCATTCCCCCAGCAAAGTAAAATCACTAAAGAAGCCTCTCTCACAGATATGCCTTCATGAAAAAGTTCCTCCCATAACTTTTAACATGGGAGTGGGGCATCTGGCCCAAGACTTTAACTCAGTTCATCTTGTAACTTTAAAAGAGGAAAAATAACAGGCCAAAGTATTTTCATTTATTTTTCAGAGGCTTAGCTTTAGGAAGCACCCTTTGCTTACATGAAGCCTCACCTTCATTGCCTGTACTTTGCCCTGTCTCTCCTATGGATAACCTTTACACAGATGCTATGTTTCACATGGCTAGACAAGGTGTGCTGCCTGGTCAGACTTTTTTGGAAGTCAGTATGACTGAAACATGCTTGTGGAGACCTGTGATGAAAGTACTCAGAGAGTGTGATTCTGTGTTAAGCATGCAGGCTGGCTCTTGACCTTTGCCACCCAGCTGTTCTGACAACCCAGTTGTTCTATAGGGTGGTTGTGTGAAATTAGGTAAAACAAATGCATGAGTAACCACCACCCCACATTTCCTGTTCAGAAGCTTGTGTCTTACCTCCTGGCAATGCTGTTACTGCTAGAAAGAAGTGTGTATGTGCAGAGCAGAGCAGACTAAAGCGTTATCTTCTACAGTTACATTTCAAACTGGAAAATAGCTGCATGTATATGGCAAGTGAACTACATAACATCAATAAAACAGATATCCTAAATCCTACTTGGAATTGCAATTGGCAGCTGTTAACGTGTTTTGAATTGTATTTGTTATTTGTAGTTTAGCAATAATCCACCACGATGTAGTTCTGCTTGTTAGCTTTGGAGGAGTTTGAAAGTGGCTGGGACGCTCCAAGATGCTCCCAGCTTCACAGCCTTCCACACTGCCTTGAAACCCGGGCTGGGGTTTGTCTCTCTTGAAAACAAGAACAGCATTAGATTTACATGCCCAGTTGCTATGTGGATGGAACAGGCAATGATCCCTTTGCCACCAAGCGGAATTCAAAATGTAATTCCAAGTACCGGCTAACATCTGTAAACAGCTGTGCCTTCCCACGCACTCCGACAGGAACTTCCAGAACGTTTTAAAAGGGTCACTGAGGAATACAACCCCTAGGATGCACCGCACACTAAGTGTTTTAACGTGCCTTTCACACAGGCCTCATGTTGGACGTTGCTCCTCCTTGATTAAAGATTAAATGCAGTGATTACACTGGCCGGCCTGGGGCACACTGCGCAAAAACGAGCCACTGCTGACTGGAGCAGTGCTGCGCCGTCCCTGCCCGCACACCCGCAGCTGCCAGCGTGGCGGGGCTCGTGACCTTGTCGCTCCCGCGGCAGGCAGGGACCGGCGGAGGCCCCTGACTGAAGCAGGGCCGCTGCCCCTCTCCTTCAGCCCCCATCTAGCGCGGCCGTCGCCGTGGAGACGGGCGGGCCCGGCCTGGCGGGCGGGGCGCGGGGCGGCAGCCATCTTGCCCGCTGCCTGTCAGCGGGTGGCCGACTCGGGGCGGGCTGTGTGGGGCATAGCGTTCTCGTGTTCCCAGGCCCCCCGCCTCAGTGGTAGTAGTACCGGGTGCAAGGTGAGTTGGAGGCGGTGCAAAGCTGGTGGTGTAACCGAGCCGTGGTGGTTTCGGCTCTCAGGTCACAGCAGGACGAGGCGGCAGAGCTCTGGCCAGGAAGCTCGCCACAGCCATTTGCCGCAGGGCCCTCCGAGGGACCCGCTCCTGGGGACGCAGCTGGCCTGAGGCAGAGGTGGTCCTAAATATTCAAAGCTCGTACAAAAACGCAAATTAAAAGCCGAGTTGCCAACTTACTACCACAGCACCAGCAAAAGCTGTGATTTTAAAAGGGGGAAAGCCTTAAGTAATAGAAGGGCTGGCTATGTTGCGTGTGCTTGAAATGTATTCTAACAAAATTGATTAAATCATTAAACGAGGGACTGACGTGCGGTAGGGGGATAGTTAACATACCATCCTCTCGGGGTATTTCCAGATGAGGTGACCCACCTCGGAGCTGGAGTTCCCTAATGGCTGTTCTGCACTGTCATTGTGCCAGCCAGGAGGGGAGAGCCACCATTCTGTCACCCTCTTTTCCAGCTGCTGCTGCACGAAGCCGTCTTGGTGTGTGCCTTCGTGTGCGTTTTTTCTCTGCGCAGAGCCCGTCTGTGTGTCTGCCTCCCCCCAGCCAGCTGATCATCCTTTATCATGTGGAAAACAGGAGAAGTGCCCTTTTGCCCTTTATTTAATGCAGGAATAGGTTATGGGATTTCGTTCATCTCCTGAGAAGGAAACTGCATGCCCAAAGCAGCTGTTGGGCTGACCTCCCTTCCCTGCATGTGTGGCCCCACTTGCATGCTGGTGGGGGAAAGGGAGATGTGGTAAGACTTTGCTTTGCTCTGCTCTGTGCTGTCCTGACCGTGATGGAGTTGGTTCCACAGCTGAGGGCGAGTGGTGGTGACTCTTAGCCTGGGGAAGGTTTGGTTGCGGCTGTAGGGGGGCTGTAACCAGCCACTTCCCTTCCCTCTACAGGAGAGCTGTGTCAGCACCTCGACTGGTATCTGGCTTCGCATTCCCTTTCAGAGTTCACGAGACGTTAACTTTGAAAAGGGAGCCCCCTCCCCCCCTTCTATATTTATGTCAGTGATTTTGGGTTTTAAACTATTCATGCATGAAAAATGACTGTAGGAACTGAATACTCCCGCGTATGAATAATGACTACACAGGAACACAGATTACAGCAGTTTTGCAGTGAGACTGCAGCAGTTTACATGCTCTTTGGGAACGTTATGAAACGCTTTTAAATGCTGGTGCATGTAAATGCATTGATTTCAGTCAGCCTTTTTTTTTGTCCCATTTGGATTTGTTCAGCTTAACAGCGTGTCTCATATTTGCTCTTAGATATGCCCAGCAAATTAAGGAAATTAAAAAATGCATGCAAAAATATGGTGCTATGCACATGTATCAGGGTTTTTATTTATTAATAGACTCCAATTTCCATATGATAGCCTACTTTTTTTTACTCTGGCTGAATGGATAGTTTATGCCAATTACATGTAGTTCAACAGCTTTGAAATCTGATTTTGCTTTTGTTATGCATAAAGACATGGGTTCTGTTTCAGGTTTTAATTAAACTCTACATGGACTTTAAAGATTCTATTGTCCTTTTCATTTAAATAGGATTTCTGTTAGATCTTTAACAAGACCTCAGTGGGGTTATAAATCTAAGCAATTGTCCTTATTAGGAGTAGATTATTCTCAAGAGATGGAAAGTTACAGAAGTAACTAAAACCATTTGTAGAGACTGAACTAAGGGTTTTTCTTCCTAACCATTAAACAGACTTGCAAATGACTTGCTTGGGTGCTCAAATTAAATTAAATTATACTTTGTTTATTTTTCACAGTTTCAGTGTAGGCTATTTGTGTTTACTTAAACTTTTGAGTTTCGCTGAGCAAAATTCACTCCTGGGTACGGATCCTTATTTTCAGTATGCAGGCTGCAAATGAAATACGGTATATCCTGCAATTTCTTTTGTTAGTAACCCTTGCAACACTTGCCATTTACAGGGCTCACTAACTTAGTGTATTCTTAATTCATTGTATTTGCCACAGTAGGTGAGCTGTGCATGAAGAATTAGTCCTGCACCCCAGCCAGGTAGATCTGCAGGTTATGTAGCAGTGTGCAACTTGTCCAAAGATCTTCTCACGTGCTGGACTAAAACCACAAATTCTTAAGTCAGAGAAAACTTGCCACAAAACCAACAGTCCTGCCTAAGTTTGGCCTTCACATATTTACAGCTGCTAAGAGGTGAAAGGGAATTTGACTCTAATGGTTCTCTTAGATTCAGCTGTCTGCTTCATTGGAGGGTATTCTCTATCCTGCAGGTGCTCAGACCTTGCTTTGTTCCTGGTTTTAATCACAGGGTGGTTTCTGATGGGACATGGCCTCCTTTACACACACAGTAAGATTATGAATTTCTGCTTTATGTTTCACTCCCACCTTTGTTAAACACATTGTACTGCAGTATTTTTAAGCATCCAGTTATTTGGAACTCCATTTTGGGGTGCCAGGTTTGAGACACTCATTCCTAGGACTTGGTTCTACCCAGAAACCAAGAGGCAGAGGCAGAGGTGTTGCTCAGGGACATCCTCACAGTAAGATGCCTTGTGAGACAGGCAGGTTTTTTTCCCTGGCTTCAGTTCCTGTCTGACTGAGCTGCTGCCCTCTGCAGAGCACGCTGCAGGAAGCTGGACTCCAGGGACACAGCTGCACGTGACCCACCACGTCCGCCTCCACCGGGAAGGAGCCCACAGTCCTGCTCAGCAGATGAAGACAAACCCTTCTTGGTTGCTGCAGCTGCATCAGCTCTCAGCCACCAGGTATTTAATGTCTCAAAGCTCTTCTATCCGTGGGCTTCTCTGTTCCTGTCCTGCAGGCTGGTGTCTCTGTAGAGTCCAGTACTGTCAGCTTCTAGTCTGCTTCTGCTTCCCACATGGTACTCTGCTGCGTTTCTCTTAATAGTGATCGCACCTCCACCCTTACTGTCTTCTAAGTGACACTGTAGTGCTACTTTGGGGTAGAACAAGTTAAAGTAGAGGAGCTTAGCTGATAAATACTAATTTATAATTATACATTTGCTGCATATTTGAGGTAAAATGGCAGGGTTTGAGCCTTCATTTTCTTCTTATCACTCAAATGGCAAGATTTTGGTATGACAAGTCATAGAGGGAGGTGTAAAATCTGGTAACATAGTTCTTAAGTGTTATGGTTTCTTTCTGCCCTTGTGGGAAACTTAGAAAAAATAGAAGGTGCTGACAGCAGTTAAGTCACCTGGTTGCTGCTCTGCTTTTGGTGTAAAGCTGGGGGAGGGCAGGGGGAGGAAATGCATACCCTGGCTTTTAGGTTCAGATTGCAACTCTTCCTTCCTCCCAGTGTAGTGCACATTCATAGAGTGGCAAACCTAGGCTGAGTCCAGCTACTGATTTGCACAAGATTATGAGGATGCTAAGAGTGCTTAGTCTTTGAGGTGGATTCTGGGGGAATTAAGAGATTCTCCATCCTCTATTGTGTGGCAGTTAGACCTGATCTAAGTAATGCTGTCTCTCAGACAAAAGCCACGGAGCACAATTTTGCTCTGGATTCTCACTGGGATGTGGGATTTTCCCTTTGTTTTCTCCAGCAGCAGGGCCAGGAGCTAACCTGTTCTTGGCTCTGCAGGGTGAGATTGACAGGGCCCACTCTGCCAAGGGGTATGTCTCAACTCGTCCCTCTACCTGTTTTTCTGGGGATGCATGCTGTAATCATAGGCAAGTGCTGGGACTCTGTGCCTGCAATATGGAGGTGATGATGTGCGTACAAGAAATGCAGGGCTCGCCAAATGTATTTTCGTTGCTTGCTGATGTGCATGACCTGACAATTAAAAGATTCCCTCCTGCCTTGCACTCTGAAGGAATGTGTGTTGCTTTCCAATACCAAGTATACCATAAAACATGGCTATATGCTGTTTGCACACTGGCCATGAGGTAAGCCAGCAGCATTCTCCCCTGCTTGGAGCAGCTTCCCTGGAGGGGGAGCAGGCTGCTCAGAAGGTCGGGGTGGGGGGTGCACCTGTGCATCGCAGGCGTGAAAAGCTGCCCTCTTTCTGCCTGGAGGCACAAACCTGCTTTCACTCAGTGAAGCAGAGCGGAAAGCCTGAAGTCCTACAGTGACAGGTATCCCCAAGTATCTGCAAGATGAAGGGGGTGTGTGGGTATAAGAAATCCAGTTTGTTTCTCAATGTAAGTAGGTGAGGTTTGGGTGGGAAAGTAATGGGAATGCTAAATGATTGCTGGTAACACTTAGTAAGATGACAGCAGATCTCCTTTATATTAATGTTCAACTTTTGAGGCTAGTTTGAATCTTACTTTATTAAAGAAGGTAGGAAGCCTAGAAGTAGCTCTTTAATTTTCAAGTGGAAAATACAGTTTTGAAATCCATTATCTTAGGAATGCAGTAATCAAACAGAGTAATAACTGATGGTAAACCTGCTTTGAATGTTATTTAAAGTACTCTTCAGATGGAAACAAAAGTTGAGAGGATGGTGGCAGGTTCGCGTGGAATATGTTTTGCTTATGCAGTTGCCCACATAAGGAAGAAAGGTTGATCAGCATGTATTTTCTGGCTGTGTGATTGTTTGGAAACTATCAAAAGCTAAAAAATAATTATGTGGTTCAGAAATACTTCCGTTTGCTATTTGTCCCAACAGAAGGCTGTTGGAACTGAATCAGTGTTATTTTATAAGCACAGCTCTGCCCATGAGGCCTTCACAACAATGGGTACCCAGCATCCTGCATCTTTGGAGATCTTCAACATTAGAAATGACCTGTTACTCAGTCTGTCCCCACTACTGCTGGACTGTTCACCTTGGCACATTTTTGATCTCCCCTGGTCAATCTGTACCTGATGCCGTGGTGTACATGTGTCCTGTTGCTCCCTACACTGTAATGCTCTCCTGTTTTTCCCAAATGTTGTCACATTTCCTTTATTCCTGTGTTTTTCATCTCTCTTTGCCCATTTGTATAACACAACTGCTCTCTGTTGTTTTCAGCTTCTAATTTAATACTGTTGGTGAATTTATCAGTCTCTCTGCAGATCATTAAAAAGAGGCTATGTGGAACTGCATGTAAAAGAAAACACTGCATTCCCAAGATAGGTCACAGGCTGATGTGTAGCAGTGGTCATTGTTTTGGAATATTTAGCTTTGTTTAGTTCTTTAACAGATGCAAAATGATCTCTTGTTTGCCACTTCAGTGTGAGACTACCAGGAACACAAATTCAAAACTTGCGGGACTTGAAAAGACCTGTGCAGCCCTAGGGAAAAGGCAGTTTGCCGTGTAAGCAAAACAAAAACCCAAATGAACAAAATCCCAGCCCAGCCACAAAACCAGTCTGCCCCAGCTTGTGAGCAGGTGAGAGAAGCCCTTTCCTCCTTCTCACTCTCAGTCTGTTTCAACCCACCATTGTGCTCTGTGGCTCAAGAGTTGGCAGAAAGGGATATGTGTGAGTCCCATCTCACAGTGAAAGGCAGAGCTGGCACGCCCGTGGTGTAAGGTGAACGGAGTTCTGCTCTTTGTTGCCGTTTTGGTGCTGCTCCTGTGAAAAGGCAGGAGCCACGTGATTGTTTTAATCCAGCAAAAATCTGTGCCCAGTGCTATCAAGAGGAGCATTTGTGTGCTGTGGTGGGTGGCAGAGTTGGATGAGGGAACAAATCCAACTGCAACCAACTTCGTTGCTTATTTGGGCGTGTGAATGGTGGTATTGGCACAGAGGAGGGAGTTGTTAGGGCGTTAAGGGAAGATGGGCTCATGCAGACTGAGCAGTGTCGCCACAGGGTGAGTGGAGAGGGAGACTCTTGGTGCGTCTCTTCTGAGTGCCTGGTCCTAGGCTGTGGGTGGTACTGCTGTGCCCATGAGGGCTGCACAGGTCAGGGAATGCCAAAGTGTTAAAGCTGGACCAACAGACCCATGCCTTCATTTCATTTGTGCTCCCTGCTGGAGTTTTTCACTGGGAAAGCTTTCATTGTCATCCCAGTGTTAGGCCAGGGAAGGTGGACTCGAGGTTGCGCTTCTGACTGGGTTAAAGCACGGCCTTGGGTAGTGGCAGAATTTCTGCAGTCGCCCTTGCAGGCTGCATTTCCTGGCACAGACTCCCTGCACCCTTGGTCCTCCTTGGCTGCCTCCACAGCATTGCCAGGATGGTTGTTTTAACTCTTTTTTTACCCAGAATTCAGACAGCATCCAAGCAACACAACAGTAAATAAGCCACTTGCTCCTTTGTACAGGGTCACATCCTTCATGTTGCCCCTGCTATTAGTGTTAATAATGTTGTGTGCATCTTCCCAAGTGCAGACTGGCAACTGGGGAGTGTAAAGCGTGCCTCAGGGGGCAGGTTGGCAGCAGTGGGTGTTTGAGGCTTCATGAGCTCTGTATAGAAGATGTTCAGCCTTGGTCAACAGTAAATTGGAACAAATAGCTCAGTCCTGTTTACTGATGTTTCTAGAGGGGATGAGGCAGAAGGAAATTGAATTAAAAATAAACTTTGAAATGAGCTCGCAGCTTTTCCCCAATTACTTACAACTTTAAAACATCTGATAGTAACAAAAGAACCTATTTAAAATAATGGTAAACTGCCATCTGCTGGTAAAAAAGTAATGCACATAATGAGCAGGCAGACTTTCAAAGTGATAATTCTTTTGTATTTGACGTGCTACAGTCAAATACATACATGACAGGGAAGCTGCATATATTTATTTTACTGTTTTTCATCTCTATTTGCATTTTCATATAGAATATGCTAAACAGATGCTTATAACATAACTAACTTTAACGACAAGTGCAGAAAACCAAAGACAATAAGAATAAAGAATGAGGACTAATAAAAGCAGATGAGCGATCAGGATGGTGACAGCCTCCAAATGTGTCCTATTTACATTGCTAATAATGAATCACAAGCACTTCCTTTCTTGATTCCCCCCCCCCCCCCCCCGCCACCAAACCCTCCCATATGACCACAGTTGTAGCACTGAGAAGCATTTCCTGGCTGCTTCAACTTGATTTTTGTGTGTGTGTGGTTTCTTAGTCAAGCTTCTAAATAGGAACTAGGTCTTTAATTGTTCCTGATTTAAGTAGGTCATCTTCACCAATACACAAATCTCTAGTTGTCTTGTAAGCCAGGTCAGCTATTGAAAGGATATGGAAAATACTTATTACATAAACATGACCAGAGAAAATAATTTAACAAAGGACCACTCCCAGATTATATGATGTTACCAACCAGTTGCCATAAATCATAACTATGAGTGCACTACAGGGGAGAGACTATCAGATGTCATGTTTGTATAGTGCTTACCAAGTAGGTGTGCTGAGCATGACTGGGTCCCTAAGGTGCTGCTGCACTATAAATAGCAGCATTAGTGTGAATTACCTCCAGTGCAAATATCTCGCCACTCGCCTTCTTCATATGCATGCAATTTTCTTTTATGATTGTGGTTATTCCAAACAGAACCCATTGTTTTAGCAAACTGATCTTGTCATAGGAAATGTTTAAAACGGGCAAAGAAAAAATAGGTCAGTTCTTCCTTTGAAATCAGAGAGAAGTGTGTATTTGTAATGTTTCCCAGGTTTTATTTCCTTGGAGCAGGTTTGGCAGGTGTGAGAGGAAGTTAAAGATTTATTTTTGGTGCTATGTACCAGATGTCATACCTGCTCTTCTGAGACAGTTGCTTTTATCTCCAGCAGTACCTGCTCTAATAGCAATGAAAAAAGTGACTTGAATCCCATTTAATGCATGTAGTGTGCACTGTTTGCATGCCACTAAAGGAAAAGGAAGGCTTGTTCAGGAGACTCCGAGCATAGTCTTTATACGTCGTCATAAAGCAAACATGTTTGCATCCCTCTCAGCAGTTTTTTTCACCTCTTTGAACAAGTAATGAATTAATGTGCCCAAACCCAGGGTTTGTGACCCCAGCAGAGGCTGGTGTTTTACGAAGATGTCCAGTTTAAAATGCCATTGTATTTATGGGGTCTCCTTATGTGGCTCATTTTGTACCATCCAGGCAGTTCTTTGTAAAGGACTGTTTCTGGGGAGTGTGTGGTGCTGTGTGTGCTCCATTCATTCACACTGGTCTTAATCAAAAGCTGCTCAGCATCTTGCCTGATGAGACCCTCCTTGGTGGCAGAGGAATATTAAGAATATAGGGCCAAATCCTCAGCTCAGGAAACCACCACAACTTTTTTTGACTTTTAATCTGTGAAGGATCAAGCCTGTGGTACGTATTCACAGAGGCGCATATACCCTGCTCTGGGCCCAGTATACTGAAATGCTCCAATAGCAACACAACATGATCAAAGGGAAAGAGAGTCAGGGGAACAACAGTGCCCATGGATACCTGTTAACAGGCAGGAGCTGAAGCACATAGTTGCCATCAAAGATACTACTGTCCTCTGCTTTGCTCTGTAGCACTTCAATCTCCCTGCTGACAGGACTTTGCCTTCCAGCTGAAGCGTGACTGACGGTTGAAATAACAGTCCCAGTTTATTCCAGGTATGCCACTGACCTCTATGACCTGTAAGAAGGATAAGGTAAAGGTAATCAAAGCAGCCTCTAAGGGTTGTAAAAATGGGAACATGGGAAACAAGCTATTAGATATGTGAAGGGAAGAAATGAGGATGGGGGTTCACTGTTCTCTGCTAATAAGCTAAATCAGGAGTTCAGTGAGACTGAGATTTGACCTAACAAGAGAAAGGAGATGAGTAAGAAGCGATCAAAAGGTAGAGCTGGTATTTCCTTCATGTTATACTAGAATCACTCTGTTCAAAAAGTCTCCTGAAACATAGAGAGCTGGGGAGGGCAGGGGTGAAGAGGTGGGTTGCAGGGAAGGACAGGTATTGCCATTACATAAATTGGAACAGTTCAGGTCTGTTTATGTGTTTAGTGCCATATCCCAGTTGTTTTTTTTGAGCTTACTTTGCTATGGGATGGGGGAAACCATGCTGACACTACAACTGGTTGTTTGGCTGTTCCCTTCCTCTCTGTTTCCAGAAAATTAAGCACTGTGGCCTGCCAGTGTTCTTTTCAAGGTTTGGCAAGGCCTTGTCCTGGGTTCAGCTGTAACAGTGGTATAGAATACCCCTTTGGCTAGTTTGGGTCAGGTGTCCTGTCTCTGCTTCCTCCTGGCTTCTTGTGCCCTTCCTCACTTGCAGAGCATTGAGACTGAAAGGTCCTTGATCAGGATGATCACTACTAGGCAACAACTAAAAGATTGGTGTGTTATCAGCATTGTTATTGGGCTAAATCCAAAACACAGCACTGCACCAGCTACTAAGGAGAAAAATAGCTGTTAAAGCTGAACCCAGGACAGCTTTTGATGGATTTGCAATCCTTTTGGCCACACTTAATCCTGTTTCTTTTTCATACTATCCCTCCTGTACTAAAATCGAGTGGTCAGGCTGTGTAAGAACAAAGCTACCAGTGGTTTACCAAGGAGCAGGAATACCGTTAGTGGCGAGCATCTAGCAAAGTGTAGTTCTCAAGGTGAATTGAGATCCTTGTCTTTGCAAGGATTGCTGCGTGGCAGATTCAGAAGTAATACCTAGCAGTTAAGTGCTGTTCAGAAAGCAATGAAACATTCACTTTAAAAATCAAGAAGCATGAAATAGATAGTATTTCACTGTCGCAGCGAAGGGGGGATGCTGTGAGCATCATGTAATGGCTGCACAGTTGTTCTTTTCTGTGAATATAGCGACATTTGGAGACCTTTGGTATTTGTTTACAATAAACAATGAAAAAGACTCATATTCTACATGCTTGTCAAAGCCAGGCGTAGCAATCAGCTAATATGCTTATCAGTCAGGCAGTGTATATGGAGATATTCTGCTTTCAAACTGTCTGGTGAATGGACTTGGGCCCATGAAGAAGCCAGGTGATTAATCTACAGGGGTTTATTTTTTTCTGAACCGTTAATGTCTTCTGTTTCAGAACAACAGCCCATGGCTCATTAAGCAGGGAAGATTTGAATGCAAGTGTGAAGGCAGCACACAAAGATTCTCCACACATCTCTTGTTTGAATCTTGGAGATCAGAAAACTGAAGTAGTGGAGAAAGTTTGTTGTATGCTGGGGCTGATGCAGTCCTTTCTGAAAAGCAATGCTACTGTTAGGAAAATACTTATGTATTTCAACAGGGATAAAATCTAAAGCCAGAAGGCTGTTGTAAGGTGGTAGTGGACACTTGGTACTAGTCCAAAAATGCACAGCTGCCAATTCAGCTGACCTGCTGTGAGAACCATGCTCTTTTTAAGTCTGTTGCTCCATTTCTTTGGTGATTACATCACTCTCTTGCTGTGTTCTTTCCACCCATACTGTTGTGTACTCTGGTGTCAAATGCTGAGAAAGCAAATGGGGCTGCCGAGTCCAACTGCCTCAACAGGACTGCAACAGGGGAAATAAATACTCATTCTGAAAGACTTTGTAATATTAGATTAATCTTAAGGGGACCATCTTGATGTTACTAGCCACCTTTTATAGTCTGTGTTGTACCTGTTTGTAAAATTAATTTCTGTCATCAACTGAAATACTCAAAACCATGTTGATTTAGGAAAAAGATTTTTCTGACATCTGGTGTTCTGTAAGTGTTCATTAATCTATTGAACTAGTTAAACCCTAGTATCTTTCTTGAGAAATGGGGGAGTATTTCAACATTGTTTTTACAGATGGGGAAACTTAAGGCTCAGATGTATAGATTTAGATCGCATATTCTGGTGTTTCTGATAGGCATTTGGCCCTGCTGACTTTCACTCAAGTCTTTTCCTCATCTGCATTCCTAGTCATGGAATAGCTGTGTCCTATGCAGCTCCTGGTACCTCTCTGCATCCTGCAAGCAAGTCCATGCTGGAAAGAAGAGTAGCTTTGAAGGTAGGTTATTGTGGAAAAGGAGAGAGGAAGATGAGTGAGCAAGTGTCTTGCTTGAGGCTGTAAGAAGGATATGCTGAGCTCCCATGTTGAACCTGGGAACCACAGAGTGGCTGCACGGGAAGGAGCAACCTGAGGCTCTCTGCTTCCGCTCACACACATTCAGATCAGACAAGCAAAGACAATAAACCAGTATTGGGAAGACAGACTGGAATTGCAAAACCATGGGCCCAGTCTAATTTATTGGTTCAAAGGAACAGGAGACTATTGTAAACCGTTGTAATTATCATGGACAACAAGGTCATTGAAAACAGGAGTGCCCAGTATGACAAAACAAAACAAGCCTCCCAAAAAAATCACTCAGTCCTATGTTGCAATCTTTCCCTGAAATATGAACTGCCCTAAATGTAACATATTATTAGATATTTACCCATCATCTGGACTTCCATGGGGCTGTGGAGATGCAGTGACAATAGGGAAGGAGTGAGGATGCTTGTAAGAAGGGTTTCAAGCAGGTTTCAAGGGCTTCTGGGCTTTACTCTCTGCTGAACCTCTACTGTTTTTTTCTCTTTATTTTTTTCTCTCCTCTTATGCTTTAAAGTTCTACTATAAACAATTAGAGGAAACTTAGCAATAATATTGCCTGTGGAGACTAGGAAAGTAAGAATACATTCTACATCACCACTTCCCTTTGTTTGTCTTTTTTATCTTGTTTATCTTTGATCAGCTGCAGATGAAATAACCAGCTAACAGATTTCCCATGCAGGGCTGCCACTTGTGCTGATGAAACTCACTGACATGGGAGTATGCTCTGTAGCAGTCTAACAGTATCCATTTCTTATTCCAATACACTGACAGGTCACTCAGGGAGACTAAGAACTCTATTCTGAAGTGGAAAAGAAACTGCAATTTCAATTTTGTTTTGATTTGAAATTTTCCAGCTACCTATCAAAGCCAAATCCTTGAACTATTTACTTAGAGTAACTGAAATACCCCTATTTGAAATAGTGGATATGCAAGATTTAGCCATTAAAGAGTTGGGGTAAAATTAAAATCCCCTTCAGTAATAACTAAAGTCAGAGAAAATCTTTCAAGAAAATTAACACTTGATCAAAAAGAGAGAAGGGTTATTGTTGAGAGCATAAAGATTAAACAGAAGAGTTGTCTCAGAGAATAACCATCAATGATAAGTAGCAGGCAGTTAATAATATCCCCTCAGGGATCTTCTTTTACTCATGTAGGTTTTTGGACAAATACAATATTACATTTCTTATAGTTAAAGCATGAGAGAGCTTCATGTCGTTCCAGAGTAGCAATAAAACTTCAATAGAATAAGGGCAACTGGAAAGGTGAGAAAGGGGGTGACCCAGAAGCTGAAACAGTGGGAAACCAGTGATGGTTCTGTCCAGATAACTCCGTTTAAACCCCAGATTCTGAGACCTGTCCTCAGTCTCCTTGATGGGCCTCTTTTTTTTTCGTATCCACAGCACTGTGTTAGTGTTGAGATTTTATATGGAATTGCGCCCTCATTATATAGCATCTGAAAATGAGAGACCAAGTAGATTAAGCGTGTGATTCCCTGTTGTAATTAAGAGCTGGTTTAAATCTTGAACATGCAAAATGGTTGAATTGTCAGAATTAAAGGGATGGTAATCTGCAGCCAGGGTGAAAAGGATGGGGGCAGGAGGGTCTGGAGAACCTCTTAAACCAGCTCTGCAGCTGGAGAAACTGTAACATGAAACTGCTCCCTTGATCTCTCATTTTTCTTCTCTTATTCTCTCCTCCTATGTAATTACAGTAATAAATCTTTTTGTTCCTTAACCATCTTGTGGCCATTGCAAACATTTAAGAATTAATGCAGTTCTCACACACAATGCACATGTTCTTCATGTCCCCTTTTGTCCCTCCATTTATTCATTTATCATGTACACACAAAATTCTCATAAAATATTAATGTGAAATACAAATCTCTCTTTGCATCCTGGGAGCATTTGCATATAGTAATGTTAAAGAGATTATGAATTCTGCATGCACAGCCTGTGGACTGCATACAGGGCCAAATCTCTTCTCAGCAAGTGTGCTGAAAGCAGTGACAATTTCAGAAACATTGTCATATTACAGGTTCTGAGTGGAAAATGACTGTTTCCTGCAACTGAAGTATTGTCCTTAAAACTCAAACAAGAGGATTTGAAGCCTAGTTTTTAATTTTTCCTCCTAAGAATTCCACTACAGAAGGAATTTTATACTGCATTTCTGCCCAGTGGTTCCTCATAGATTAGTACAGCCTGGAAACAAAGGGATTTGTTGGTCTGCTTTATTTTTGGATTTTTTTTTTTTTTTTTAACAGTGCTGTAATCCATGGGGAATTGGAACATACCCTTTGCCTGTCCTCCTTGTTGGGAACATCAGGAGTAGCTACACTTCTGCCAGTTGGGGCTAGGTTGCCTTGGAAAGGGCAGAATATGCCAGTGAGGTTAATTTTCTCAGGAGTAACAAAGAGTGAAAACTGTCTGAGCAGGTGCTTAGTGAGATAGAATTGCCAGGAGGATTCTCCTGCAGTAGGAAAGACCTCTGCAGCTCTCTCCAGGCTGCAAGCATTGGCAGGGTAGTGCTGTCCTTTCTTCCACAGAGGTGAATCCTACAGCACCTTGGAGGCCTGTGGGAGCTGTGGAGGGTGGCTCTGGGGCAGGGACATGTCTCCTGGCTTTACTCAGGAGGAAGGGAAGAAGGGGAACAATCTTGTTTCAGCCTGATGGTCTGAAACATTTTATTGGGAAAGGCCCTGCGGCTGAGGTTGGACCTTTGCTTCTGCAGGGACAAGGAGAGGGTGAGAGGCAATTGCCAAAGCAGAGCAGGTCGCCCCTGCCAGTGCTGTGCCCTGTGGGGGAGCCAAGGCTCTCAGTGGGTCCCAGGTTGCTGCTTCTGGGTCTCGCAATGCTCGCTCTGTGCTGCAGTAATATCAAAGCCCTTCTTCATGTTTCAGGAAACAGTGTATTTTCAGTTTGACTTTATTTCTACTCTAATATTTAAATTTAGATGTCTGTACTTTGTGAAAACAGTCAGTGCTTTACTGTCTACAGGAACAATGCCCTTGATCCCTCAGCTCCTAACTGTAAAGCATTCATTTAGCTATACAGCTTTAAAAAATACTCTAAATGAAGCGTGTGAGACAATCTCCACAGCTGGAGTTAAGCACTTCCATGTGCTTGCTGAATCAGGGAACCAAGCTGTTAGATCTTTCAGGACTGACTGGAGATCCATAAGAAATTGTCTTGACTTAACCAAGCCATCATATTTCTCTTAATCTACATCTACTACATCATCTTTTTTCTTTCACTTCCTTCTTATTCATGCTTAAATGAGAAACATCTGTTTCCATTTTTCACATTGTTCTGTTATGTGAGTAACAAAATCAAACATATTTCTTTTTTTTTTCCCAGCACTGCGAAAGAATAAATTAGTGTTAAGTTTTGTGAAGTGCTTTAAAACACTAAAGCAAAACATCTGTTTCAGCTGCAGGTCATCAAGATGGAAAGTCCCAGTCTGTGTGCAGGGCAAAAATGCAAAAGAAAATTAGCAGCCCAAGTGCATTTCGTCACCTGTCTTTTCCTGCAACAACTGAAGATGGAGAAAGGACAGTAAATCTTGTCTTCAGGGATGGGGCAATTGAAAGTGCTCAGTGCTGTAATCCACAGCAGCACTGGGTAGTAAGGTATCCTGGATATCTGATCTGAAGATGCCTGAAGGTTACTCCAGTGTCATAGACTTCTAGCTGAGAGTCTCCTTGACCTCCACATCTTCCAGCCAGGCACAGCATTGTGCAGGATTGCCTAATCCCCTGTAGATGTTTGTGTTACTGAACTTCAGCTGAAAATCCCTCCTACCTCCAATCATTTAAGATTTGGAGATTGTTTCCAGGGCAGGGGGCCAGAGTAAAGCTCAACTAGCAAAGCTGCTTTACAGGTGATCTGAGATGCTCTTTACATTGGGCCAAAGCCCAAATGTAGGTGTCTCTGTTCTTTTGTTGATAATGATCTCCTTTGTAAAGCACTTTGAGGTCTAGAGATGAAAAGCCAACTACTGCCTGGGAGCTTGGCTATTAATAGATACATGAATATTAACAGTGAGTACATTCCCTGGATTCTATAGGAAATGCCAGACCTTTCAGACAGGTCCTGGCAGGCAGGTAATAGCTTATTCCTACAAGAGGCTGGGTCCACCCTTGTTTCCCACTGTCTTTAATTAAAAGGTCCAGATCCTTCCTAAGTGTAAAGGAAGTATTCAGCATCTGGCAAGAATGGGCTTCAAAACTGGATGGGGCTTTCCTGGCATCTTTAGAGGAAATACTTGTTTGTTCTCCAATCTCTTAGAGCAGCAGCCAGTGCAGTGTTGAGCAGTTCTACTGCACTATGCTCACACCCTCCCTGGAGCAAATGAATAGGATGGTCTGGGGTCTCCAGCAGCCCTACGCACTACGTATTTTGGCTGCCATTTAATTTTAATGCTGAGGTTTCAAGCCAGGAGGCTGTATGTATGTTGCTGCACTGCATCTATTCACCTGCAGCTCTCCCCACCCCCAGCTTATGAGCATGATTTCTTTTTATGCACTGCTCTGTCACAGCTTGGCAAGTTTCCCATGACAATCCATACCAGAGAGGAGAATATGGCTGCTGAGCCGCATAGACAGGAGAAATGCCTTATGCAACAGATTCATTTAAATACTATGAAATGTTGAGACAGAGTGAGACATAACTGAAAGCAAAAGGCAGCCCTTAATCTCTAGCATCAGTTCTTCTGCTTGCCCTCACCATCATCAGCATCTAATAGTCACTGACTGTCTCCATTCACGTCTCCATCTTTTCCAAGCAACTGCCTGCGGCAGAATGTACAAACAGCTTGGCAAGCAGTTTTAGGGGCAGGGGGTTTATTTGCTTTTTTCCCTTCTAATTCCTCATGAGCCTCATGAGCATTTCCCCACTAATATGCCTGTGGCATCATTAGGTGTTTAATGACAGTGATGATGCCTGAATATTATTGTTTTTATGGTTCATTTTGGTTTGACAAGTCTTCAATTTTGTGGCAGTTTCTAGTGTGCAGACTCCTCCATCCTGTATCTGATTTTTAGAAATATTTATGACGAAGTATTGTCATAAAACCTGAAATAATTAATTGTCAACATTAATTATGTTTAAGTGCAATATGTGTTCAATGCCACAGTAGTTTAATGACATCAATTAATTATTTTAGGGTATAACTGAAGCACAAGGAATAGCCCAATAATGGCCATGTTTCAGATCACAGTTCAGTGCAGTTCTGCAGATGAACAATCCTGTTTGGCTTCTTTTAGCAGTTCCCTGAAGAGACCAGCATGGATCATGGTTGTGGATCACTGTCTTATTACGCTTCTTCCTCACATCCAGAATCTGGATCATTATATCTGTGCTCAGACAAAAAATGCCAGCATTGTACCTGCAGAAAACAAGGCTGCTAAAATTGTAGGCCTTGAATAGATGCATACAGTGTCATTTTACCCCCTGCATTTTGTCTACACGTTGGCTGTGTTGCATCTATTTCTTTACTGATTAAATCAAATGGGTGCAGTTTTTGTGTACAGACAAGACTATAATTCTTACTTAGGAATATGCCATCTTCATTTACCATGTCATCTGGATTATCAATGCTGTGCAGTGCATTTACTCAACAGCTGTGTGTGCAAGAAAAGCAGTGATACTTTTAATACACTTAACTAATGCCCATTAAGGTCTCACTTTATATTATCTTCCAAGTGATTTTACCCAGTTTAGGATGCCAGTGCATGTGTCTGCCACCGTGGCAGAGCCTTTACAACAACTAGCTGCTGTAATGACTTTATTTTGCTTGCCTTTACTAAGATGAGGAGAGCTACTGGGGAGGACAGTGAAGGTACTCTTGCTGCTTCCTTGTGTAATGCATGTCCTGCATGACAGTAAAGGGGAGGAAGCTGCCTCTCTCTGCAGTCTCTTTTCTCCTCCCACCACAGCACAGCACAGCATGACTGCGAAACTGTTCTGCTTTTGGGATTCCCCATTGCTGGTTAGATGCTACAGGCCCCATATAAAGGTCTATGCCTCTGTTCCCAGCACAGATGCAGCCAGTGGCACTGCACAGCCCCAGGAGCAGGCGATGGTAACAAAACTGTAATTGTATACATAGCTGCTGTTTCAGATGTTCATATCCTGGCTTCCAACATCTCTATGTCCTTTTTTATATTTAATAGCAGTTACAGTGGTTAACTGGCTTTATTTTGGAAACCTTGGCATTTCTCTTGCCAATACTGAAGCTGTGAAGATCAGAAACAAAGATGTGCCTTTTTACTCTGTTTCTTCTGATAGCTTTTGTCATTTGGCAACTGTTGTCCTATTAGGCTTTGTGGAATTTGGACAGGATTCTGATCTCCTACAAAGTGACACACGCACTTATTAGAATGCTGGAGCAGGTTTGGGGCCTTTTTTCTGATACACCATGCTGAGTGCATGCATGAGAAATCAGAGTCTTATCTTTTATTATGTGACCAAACAGCTGCAGGAACTTCTAGTGAGTACTTTTAAATATAGGTAAGATAAAAAACACAACAGTATTCCCATAAACCAGAATGTAAAGCACAGGCTCTCCTTCTGCAAGTCTCCCAGACTCTAGAAGAGAATGATCAAATCTGGACCAAGCACTGTTACACTTACAGTTCCACTGAAGTTAAATCAGAAATAAGGAGAAATTTTGGATTCTTCTACAAGCTATGTCATGATAATTCCTATTTCCACAGTCTCTTCTCAATCCCAGCCCAGTATTTAAAGAAAAATAATTGTAATTTATAAATTAAATTATACAAAAGACTTGATATTTCATTCTCTGCCTCAAAGGCATATTTTTGGAATCATATAACCTTTGAGAGAAACAATCCCATAGTCAGGATGCATTGCAGTTCACTGCATTTTATATTAAGTTATTTTTCCTTCTAGGTGCACAGGTAGTCACATTGCATTTCCAAATAAGCAGTGAGCAGCTCCCCAACCCGTTTAGTTTTACTGCTCCGTTTGGGAAATGGCATTTATTCAGTCAGCCTCCCCTTCCTGCAAGTAAAATATCCTCATTCTGCTCAGAACAAAAGAACTGCCAAATGTAGGTAGGCCAGCTAGCTTTGTCCTTCTGTCCAGTGGAAGTGCACCTGTGCTACCATTCGGGCTCTACTGCCTGAGCATCATACGCGCTCTGGGGCTCCACGGGAGTGCTCCAGCTAGGATGCTGCAGGAAAACTCCTCGGAAACCTTTTCTGTGCCTCCCAGCCCCCACGTATAGTCTGGACCATCTCCACGCCTTTCCTTGGACCACCCCTGTACTTGTCCAACAAAGCCAGATGGCTTGGCCCTTGCACCACAGCTTTGCACCTGTATGTGTGCCATACCTGCCCAGACCTGTTGAGCACCATCTGGCCATGCTGCCCTTCAGTTTACAGTGACATACCCTCATTGCCTCCCAGCCCAGTCCCTCCACCTGGCCCTGGGATGCCATCTGTAAACAGGTTGGCCTTATCACAGTCTTCTTCCACACTTGGGAGGCCACAGCCACAAGCCAAGCCCTTCTTGCTTCTGTTAACCAGGAGGATCAGCCACCTTGCTTCCCAGAAGGAAGAGTGACCCTGTTCTCCATGTACTCTGGAAAGCCAAAGGAGAGCACTACAGAGTCTGTTCTGAAGTGAAGGCCTGAGTGAGTCATCTCAGAATGGGCTGTGAGAGCACAGAGGTGCTGGCTGTTCCCAGGGAAAGGTTCAACAGTCTGCTGCAGCATGATCAGAAGAGTGGTGACCAGTGAGGTCGGGTAGGTAGGGGTGTGTAGGTTGTGGGTTATATGTGGTACAAATGTGCTGATGTGGCATGAAGACTAGAAAGGCTTCACATGGTATTCTGCTGATGTTGGGGGGAAAATGTGCCTCATTTGCTTTGCCATGCAGATGTGTCCAAGAGACCTGGAGACCAAACAGTATGTAGGGGCAGCCCCTGTGTAGCTACCTTGATAAACTGTAACATGTAAATGATGGAAGTGAGTATACAATTCATACTTAGTGAGTACCTGTTGTCTTGAATCCTAATAAGCACTGTTTCCCACAGCATGTGCTATTTTAAGTCATTGTGAAAGCCATGCTTCTTAATGTACTCTATCACAAATGGGATGACACCCTCCTCTTAGAAACCATAATTGATAAATGTGACAAAACATGGTTATTGCTATTCATAAGTGGAATACTTTTAAAAGTACTCTCAGTCTTACGTTGATTGGGTTAAATGACTTGCTGATTAAGACATCTACATGAAACATTAAAACACCATTATCTAGCTCCTGTCAAGATTCAGAATCGAGATTCTCTTTTGCACAGAGTAAGTAACAGCCATTCTGCTGTTTTAAAGCAGAATATAAACATAATAAAGAGATATATTTGAATGACAATTCATACATAACTTCTGAAAAAGGAATTTTAATATGCTTGGGATGGAATTAGATACATCTGATACATTAGCAGATAGACTGGAGTGCTTCCTGAGACTGTTCAGATATTGCTGCTTTTGCTGAAATTCCCAAAATGAAACTACTCTGCCAACTATTTCTGCTCTTGCAGATACCCCATTTTTACTTTATGAATTACGTCCATGGTGTAACTATAAATACACTTCTAAAGCCTTACCTTAGTCCATTTCCACACAGTGACCTATGAACGCCTTATTGGAAACCAGAGCCAAGGGCTGTGAAACTGGGACAAGTTTTAAAAATGAACATTACAATTGTTCTAAGTTTCTTCATTCTTTCTTTTGTCTGAGAACCCTCTACCCAGCATGCATTTCAGGATACTGAAATAACCATCTTACAGTTATTTTAAATATGTAGATTTCTATTACTAGGAAAACTAGTGCTAGAATTTTATTTCTTTGAGCCTCGTTGAAAGCTCATTAAAGTCTTTGCAGCTATCTCACTGAGTTTATAATGAGACACTTTATGTTCCTCTGAGCTTCGCACTAAAAGCAGTAGTATTATAATACAAGATCTGCCTGCAAATCCCAAACCTAAGACAGTATTTTCTGAATGGGGTAATAGCAAATGAACTGCTGTTCAAAATAATTCAGCTGAGAGTTTAGGCAGGATGTGATGTGGAAATACTGGATAAACAAGAAAGTAGCAAAAGTTTTAATACAGCTTTGATCATTGCATGGAAGATACTTTTTGGTACTTCAGTGGTAATGGATGTGGCCTAGGAGATGCTTCTCCTCTGTTGGCATAGAGAGGGACAAGGAAGGATGCTGTAAAGAGGAATGTTACTGGGTAACAGAAGTTACATTGTAATAACCCCAGGTTGTAACTTGGTTTTTAATTTTTGTCAACTTCCCATATAGTGATTCGGTACAACCACAGAATCTGACAAATAACTTCTCAACATTGCATATTAACTTGAAGACTTCATAAAGCTGTCATGGTTTTATACAGGTTTTTTTCACCTCCTTTTCAGGATTCAGTTACAAAGATGTCTGTTTGCATGCCCTGAAGATACGTACTTATCTATACAGTACAATATACTCTAAAAAAAACCTTTTGTAGTTTTTTAAGCTTTATCTCTGATGTGAGAAAACTCAGCTATATTAATAGTTAATTGTCTTGATCAAACCCAAACTCTTTACAATTAAGAAACAAACAGAAGGTATGGCATATCAAACAGACTTTCTGCTGCTGTGATCTTACCTAAATACAGGCTCCTCAGTATTTCTACATTAATAGTAATAAAGTGCTCTTTTGCTTTCTTTGCTTCTTTTTAAAATATTATTATATTTTCCTGTACACAAACCTCTGGTGCTTTACAAACCAACATTGATAAAGAGTTACATAATTGTTTGTGTTAAGTATATGGACAAGGGGATGTATGTCCATCTAACTTAATGAACTTACAACTGCTGAGGTAGCAGTTGCCTACCAGGCAGAACAGTAAGGGGTTGTGGGGAAGGGAAGGCAGTTAGAAATCCTACCTGGTGTGTAGTTACGTACTTACACTGATACAGTGGCAAAGACATTGACAACTGAGAGATGCTGTTCATTTTTCAAGTGCATTTGCTTCTCAAGGCAAAGGTTTTTGGTGAAGATGTCTTCACTTGGATCTTTGTCCTGACTTCCACCTGGCCAGATGACTTTGAAACACAGAAGTTGTGGGATTTGGCTACTAAAACCTTTCCTTTTTGTGAGGATGTTGAAATGGTGTTCAGTTGAGGAAGGTGACTTTCCCTGTGTTATGCTACCTGTGTCCCTCCCTGGGACATGGAGAAGTCACAAATTCGAACATGGAGTATGCCTGAAAGGATTATTGTCACTAATTCTCCACATTAACATTGCTCAGGTCCCTAATATGTGCTGTAGATGTGGGTGTGAGCTTAACGCTAGTCACAGAGGTTGGTGTAGGGACAAGCAGGGTGTGACACAACTAGGAGACCAGAACATGGCACTCTACAAGTCTCATACCATTTCCTGCTCATCAGTAACACTTTGCCAGCACGAGACAGGCATGTGGTTGATAGTCATAGCTAGGCTTTTCCATGCCCTGTCTTCTACAGGGATACACTAAGGTTATCAGAGTGATACCTGAAACAAGGAACTTGAAATTACTATCTCGGTCTTCTCTCTGTCATTTTGGCACTATAATATGAACTGAATCATCAGTCTGGGTTAAGCAGAGCTACGATAATTTATGTCTGTTGTATCTAGGTCCTTTCCATCATCTGCTGAAGGTCAGGTTATTGCTACAGATTTCTTCCTCTTCCACTGAATTACAATGCATCAGCAGACTAAGGAAGAAATTTGTTACGGTTTTGTTGCTCATAGCATATTTTCGTATATTAATACTTCCTGTGCGTGATGCAAATGGCAACCCTCCAAGGCAATACATTGTTCTTAAGAGGGTCAGTGCTATGATATATGGTGGTGTTTTCCTATACTGATCTGCTTACTTCTTATCTTTGAATTATGTGAGACTTGAGTTCAGTAATACAGACATGAGAAGAGAGATGTCAGATCCTCCTGAAGGGAACAGAGATGTAGGCTTAACTATCATCTTTTTATTGTGGGATGAATTAGACCTAATGCAAGATAAAATGCAAGCATAAAGAGCAAGGTTAATTAATTACTACTGACAATCCAGTATTTGTTAATTGATAACATTTATTATGGTGGTTACCTGAGGAGCAGCTAAGAATGGAGACTCATGTGCCAGGCAGATAGTGCTGCCCCAACAGCTGCTTCTCTCTGCTCTGTGGTAGATGACAATAACACTCCTCAGTGGTGAGACCGAAAACAGGGGACAACTGTGGGAGGCTGGGTAAGAAGCTGCTTCCTCCTGACAAAAGCTGTGTTGTAACTGCTGGCGCAGGCCTGGCCAAGGGGAGCAGGACTAAGCAACAAACATGGGTGTTTTCGTCCTGGTGCCTGTGGACAGAAACCTAGCAATGGGAAAACGGTTGTCTTCATCATGTAATGTGGGAAATTCTCCTAGCTAGAAGTGCAACAGTTACAAAGGCAAATCACAGGGGCAAGTGGCAATATTTAGCCAGGGAGACCTTCTGAATATCCTTCTGTTGCAAAATATTTTATCTCGGGACTCAACCTTACCTTGGTTAAGGTTGTTAAAACAGGCATAGGTTTTAATGGCTAATGGGTTTAATTTTATCTATATTATTACTGTCATCTTACTGCAATTCTGCAAGTTTCATTGATGCTGACAAAGATGACTGGAATATCTTGATTTGTGGCAGAGACTAAATTCATATTATACATAAAATGCATTTTTGTTCTACCTGAAATATAGACAATACTAGAGAATCCTCTTTAATTATCACTGACAGCTGTATTTCAAAAGAGCCTGTGAAACAAGCAAGCCAAAAAACATGAATCAACAGCTCAAACAACAAAGAGTTAAGAAATTTTTCTTCTTTTAGATTTTTAGCGTTGAAATAAATCAAGCTGCTCCAATTCATTTCATTATTCTTCTAAAATTTAAATGGAAATAATGTTAGTTACTGTTTGTTGAAACAGACAGTGCACTGAGTTCCTAAATATGTTGAAACTGGTGAAATGAGTACTATATCTTTGTAGGAAAGGCCAAGAAACCAAAATATCTCTGTAGGGTGGAAATAAAAACTCTGTGGCAAATTGAGCAACAACACAGAGATACCTTTCACATCATGTTTATGGACCCTTGTTTTTGTAGTTACGAGAGTCTAAGGGCAAAGACAAGATGAATTTTGTAGGTAAAGGCAAGATGTTTTATTCAAACAACCATCTTAGCTGGAAAAAGAAAGCATTATGTCCTGTGTACTCAAAAACTCCTCTGCTTTCTCAATTTCTAATAGTGGATTGAAGAAAAAAATGCTACTTTTTCCTATAAACCCCATTTTTGTCTGAAATTCAGACATCAAGGAGCATTTCAATTTTGAAAATGTTATGGAAGACACAATTTTCTACCAAAGGCTACGATGCAAAGATGAGATCAAAGTAATAAATGGAGAGGGGAAATGGATGGGATAAATTCAATGTATCCATTACATGACAATCATACAGGCTTAAATTATTCTACAGCTCAGAACTATACAGTTTAATCTTTTATATGTTGGTGTTTCAGTTGCTATATATGGGATAAGCAGAATATTTTGTTATTGAAAGAAATGTGTCACCTGGAAATGAAACGTTCAGAAAATCATGCATATACTGGCTGTATTTCTGCAGTGAAGCTTTTAGCATAGAGCTAATGAAGTGCTTGGGGTCCTAGGGAATAAAAGGTGCTATATAAATGTAAGAAATTATCATTAAAAAGTTCTTCCCTCCAGGCATTTGGGATTTTGCTGTGTGTGTTACAAGGAGGCATTTGCAGTCTTTCATTCCAAATGCTTCAGCTTAGACCTGCTCCAACTCTCCCTCTGCAGCTTCAGCTACAAAAATGTTTATATGAAGAAACCATTTCTAAATGGGTTTCAGTTAATCATATTTTGCTGCCAACATGAAAGAGCCTGCCTTGGTTTAAGCTTTTTATAGCCATGTTGAAGACCAAGAGGAACTAGATACCGTTTCCTCAAGAGGTTTTCAAATGCTGTTTTAATCATTATTAGG